CTCCTGTCTCTGAACTGAGGTGGGCGGCTCCTGCCTCCAAACTGAGGCGGGTGCCTCCTGTCTCTGAACTGATGTGGCGCCTCCTATCTCTGAACTGATGTGGGCGCCTCCTGTCTCTGAACTGAGGTGGGCGGCTCCTGCCTCCAAACTGATGTCGGCGGCTCCTGTCTCTGAACTGAGGTGGGCGGCTCCTGCCTCCAAACAGATGTGGGCGCCTCCTGTCTCTGAACTGAGGTGGGCGGCTCCTGCCGCTGAGCCGGAGGCGTCACTTTATATATTTTCGGTGGGGCTGGACCCCTTAATGCTCGTCGTAGCCCCCTCAATGCATTTAAACAAATAGGGAATACTGGACCGAATATTTACAGAACAATTATCTTAACCTTTGGTATACCAGCTCGTAGGTACCTAGACGCATTACTGTTAGTATGACGTTAATTTTGTACCGAATAGTATGCTGTAGGCACCTAAAATTTGTGTCATACTTACCCCTTTATATGTTAAGCCAATCTACTAATTTTCGACTGTTTTTTCCAAATGATAAGGGCTGGGTTGGTATGAAAACCATTGATTGCAATACGCAGCAATTTTCAGAGGTACAGGGCGGCCCAGATAAAGGATAACGTAGCCTTTCTTCAGCAGTGGCAAGTGCATTTGTCGCAAAACCGTGACTGTACTGGCTGTAAAATATGATTAGCGACAGCGGTAGTGAGCAGAGATGCCCTTATAAGATTTACGACGATATATTCCTGTAAATTACACCCCTTCTAAGCTTCTTCTTCAAAAAGGCAGCTCACATTATCTTGAAATAGGAGGCTAGCCGTCAACAGGAAAACAAGTATGATTTTACAAAATATCAAAAGGACTTTTCTTTAATTCGAATATAGGAGACGCAAATTCAAGGGGAAAAATCCAGGGAGAAATCAAATTTTGGAGGTAGGTTGTGGCAATCTTTCTGGCTGAGCCCGCCCCCCCCCCCCCGCCCCTCTTCAACCAATTTTAGAAAGTGACACCCCTGCGCTGAGCTGATGTGGGCGGCTGCCGCCTCTGAGAGGATATGACCGGCTGACGTTTCTAAGCTGATGTGGGTGGCTGCCGCCTCTGAGAGGATATGACCGGCTGACGCTTCTAGGCTGATGTGGCTGGCTGACGCCTCTGAGAGGATATGACCGGCTGACGTTTCTAAGCTGATGTGGCTGGCTGACGCCTCCGAGAGGATATGACCGGCCTTGACGCTTCTAGCTGACGTGGCTGGCTGACGCCTCTGAGTCGAGGTGAACGGCTTCCTGCCCTCTGAGCTCATGTTGGCAGCTCCTGCCTGTGATCTGATTGGCGGCTCCCGTCTCTGAGCTGATGTGAGTGGTTCGGTTTGGATTTCTTACCGCTCTGCTGTCAACCAGCTATAAACATGGCATGATGTTATGTAGTTAGGTCATGTCCCGAATTTGTGAGAGGGGTTTCGTTATCATGGAGGCGTGACATTTGGACGCGTATGGCTTAAGTATGAAGGGCGGAACCCATACGTTCCAGCCTCCCCAGGTGCAGACCGGATCCATGTCAACACACTTCTTTTATCCATCGTCAGCACCCGACGACCAGCGCCGAGTTCATTATCGGAATGACGTGACTGACGTCATCCGAGTCGGCCGGGACGGTGCGGACCGGTGCGGTGCCGACACCGCCTCTGGCATGGGTCGGGCATTAGTGGCCTGACGGAAGGTGACCTGTGCGGCGGCGTGGACCGCGCTGAGCGGGGGCCGCCGTCCGAGGCGGCTCGGCGCGTGTCGGCCTAGTATCGACCTGTTGGTGCCACCGACGGAGCACCCACAGGTGCGGCGGCGCGCCGGTGCCGCCGGGCGCCGGCCCAGCCGCCGCCCGTGGCTTCTGTTGCCGGCCAGGCGGGACGTGGATCATTGGACAACCTGGTCGTTGGCTGAAGATTTATTCGGCGGGGTCACACTTGCACAAGCCCGCTCACGTGACTGGAAAGCAAGACCCGATGATGCACATAAAGAAGGCGCAAAGGTTGGCCAAGTGCACAGAATGCAAATGAGCTTATGCAACGAGCTGAGCATGGTTGTAGGCGCTTTAAAGCTACAAGTTAATCTTTAGGCAATAACACTGCAAAACGCAAGAAATAACTGCCATTTTCTATCAGGACCCCTATAGGACCTAAGGACCCCCTATAATCTAATGAAAACTGTCATAAGTTAAGATTAGGCTGTGAACAGTAAACCCAATACTGTAATTAGGCGTGACATCTAGCACTTCCAGCAATGACTAGCTCTTATGGCTTCCGCAAGGCATTTTAAGGGATTCACTTCAAGGCTTCAACGTGTGACTCGTTACGGTAATGACCGTCCTCCACGCGTGCTGCGCCATTCAGTGGCGTCTTGTCGCAATGTTGGTGGTGTTGTCACGTTCTCCTTATCCCCACATGTCACGGCCTGATGTCGATCTGATGGAAGGAGAAAATGTTGCAATGCGACGTAATCTGTAAATAATCAGTAATCGGTATAGTCAGTAAATAATCGTTATCAGTTCGTTGGCACAGTGGACAAACGTGCCCTTGCCCCATCTGGTCCTCGAATCAGCGAAATCCAAGTCGCCGTATTGCCGGATCTCGTCTGTGATGAGGTTTGTGCTACAACGGAACCCAGGCGTGCGAACAGACTACGGGCTCGTCTGTTGACAGCACTTGATATGCCTTGATCAGGGTCCTTAACGCGAATTATTGCTGAATAGACTTAATAGACAACCAGCCCAGCCCTTTCAGCACGTGGGGATCTATTGAAACTTTCGCCGTTCGGGCACGACGGCCGCCGGTGAAGCTCGCTTGTTTATGGAGCAACTGTCATATTGTACCGTTCGCGGTGTTTGCCGAACGCCGCACAACAATATCACACATGTGGCAGAGCCAGCGCATCATTATCGCGGAGAGCGCCAATAACGCCAGTGGGTAATGAATGCGACCTTTCTGAACTCCAGGAGAAAATACCGCCAGTGGCAGTATTTGGATTTATAGTGATGGTCCCGGATGTGTGATGCCTACCTTGGTTGGTCCACTCCTGCTTCCTTCCGCTAAGATCACAGTAAAAAACCGAGATTTATATGACCTTGACGGTCCCGGCCAGGTCATTTCACGCGGTGATGACGGGTTGTTTGTCCGTTATCCACCCATGCTTTGCTGGACGATGGCACAGTTGGGGCGCCCATTATTATACAAAGTTCGCAGAACAGGTTTTCATCGCTTTGGGTGGGGAAGAGTAGGCTCATTCTGTTAGCATCCTTGATATCCTTTGTTTACGCAGATGCCCTGGTGAATGCGATGAGAAGCAGACTGAGAGGCCAGTGTTCAGCCCTGTGCGTTTCGCCCCCCGCGAACGTCGTTACCTGGTGTCCAGTGCGGTTGCTCGGGATTCTCCTTTCTCCTCAGTTTATGACTCGGTGTAGAGCTCCACTTTGCTCCGGCCGGTCGTGCCTCTGCCGTGAGGTCATGGCCCGGTGCCCAGGTCCTCTTCGCTCCGACCGGTCATAACCTTATCGTGAGGTCATGTTCCGACGCCCAGTTCGGCTCGGCTCCGACCGGTCGTGACTCTGCCGTAAGGTCATGACCCGGTGCCCAGCTCGTCTCGGCTCCGTCCTCGTCCCCAAGGTCATGACCTGGTCCCTAGCTTGGAGCACCGCCTCCAATCGATGCTGGCGGACGCGGCTGCAGTGCAGCGCGGCGCCAGTGCAGGGCGCCGTGCCCCCGGTCGTAGCCGCCGCCGGCCGGCCCCGCTGGTCAATACGGCTCCGGACCGGGGCCGGGCCGAGCTGCGGGCGTCACGCACCGGTGCCGCCGCGCTCCGACCGGCGCGTGTCAAGGAACGGATAATGATCGGAGCAACGAGACGGGGCCGCTCCTTTCCGGGTAGGGACACTTGACCTCCGTTGTGGTGGAGCGCAAGCTTGGGGAATCTGTCTTAAAACTCGTCGGGGGACGTCCTCCCTTGTCCCGTTTAGTGCTCCAGGAATGCCCTGTGGTGAGTCACTGGGATCGCCTGCGCCGTGCAGCCAGCGCTGTCAGACATCATAACGTGTAACTAGCGGGCAGAGCAGCACTTAGGTACTGGCTTCCGCCTGCCAACAGGACCTGAGCCTCCTCTTCACCTCTCCGGCCGTCTTGTCGGCCAACGACCGGGGTCTTGTGTTAGCGTAAACGCTTTTCAGTGTCGCGTTTGAGCACTCCGCGATGGCCGTGTTTCGTCAGAAGTGGTCCCTTACATGCCGCGTCCCCCGCGTGGCACCCGTGTTTGAGCACTCCGCGCTGGCCGTGTTCCCTCAGAAGAAGTCCCTTACATGCCGCGCCCCCCCGTGGTACCCGTGTTTGAGCACTCCGCGCTGGCCGTGTTCCGTTAGAAGTGGTCCCCTACATGCTGCGTCCCCCCCCCGTGGTACCCGTGTTTGAGTACTCTGCGCTGGCCGTGTTCAGTCAGAAGTGGTCCCTTACACGCCGCGTCCCCCCCCCCCCCCCGTGGTACCCGTGTTTGAGCACTCCGCGCTGGCCGTGCTCCATCAGAAGTGGTCCCTTACATGCCGCGTCCCTTCGTGCTATCCGTGTTCCCGAGCCGGCTGCGATCAGCGGTTCTTGTCTGTAACTCACTGGCTCACATTGGGGCTGCGATCATCGGTTCTTGTCTGTAACTCACTGGCTCACATTGGCAGCACTCTCTTTGGACCTTACCAGTATAGCCATTACAAAATGTATTTGTGTGCTGTATGTGCCATTTCTCTATAATTACATGCTCCTTGCAGGCAGAACCCTGCATGTGTTATCACTCGCTGTGATATCATGGGGATATCATGTGTGATAATCGTGGTGAAAGCGTCGCTTCCGTTGCCAGCACTCGCTGCGGGTGGTGTCGCTTTGCAACCGGCTGTCTCGGAGCGCCAAGCTGCGCAGCCGGAGCCAGAGTATGGAGATGCTGGACGAGCGGGAGGAGCAGCCGACGTCACACACCCGGCCTCATCGCCGGCCATCAACGAGCTGGCCGTGGCCGCCTACCAGGTGAGGGCAGACAACTCACCGGACCGGCACCAGGTGGCCGGCTTCGGCTTCGGTCGCGTAGGTGGGCCAGAGACTGGAAGCTGCGGGCACGTCATGGCAAGGCTTTAAAATGGCAGCAGACTGTGAGAAGTCGTGGTTGGATAGTCTCCGTCGTAGTGGCATCCGCCAAGGAATGGCGTTCGGGTGGTTGGCCGAGGGCGAGTGGCGACCACACCGCTGAGCAGAACGGTAATCGCTATGGCGAATGCCGAAAACTCTTAGCCAATAGCTCCGTACAAAACTTCGAGATAAGTGCTCAGACGAGATTGCACGCCAAGACGAACCAAGCTGCGTATTGGCTCCGACAATAAGTCAGCTGTGTCTTCAGTTGGTTTTATCAACCTCTATACCCAGATAGATAGAGGAGAGGGGGCATACACACACAGTCTGGCTGAATCGCCTGAGGGCTCGTGGCACCTGAACGAATTTCCGATAGCGAGCGGACCATAGTTCAGGTAGCCGCGGCGGTGAGGACGATGTCGGGCCGTCGATCGTAAGTCACTGCCTCCATATAGGAACTATTATAGGACTGGGTCGGATCAACGGAAGGCCGGTATCTCGTACCAAAAGGTCAGCAAAAGGTCAGAGGAGGTTTGCAGAATGTCACCGGATGGCCCGTAATGTGGATGAATCGGAGAAAGCTCCAGCCATTATCACGGCCGGTTTCCGGTTTCATCTCTGATGAAAATGAACTGTTTCGAACACCTGGCTGATAATCTTAAAATGTGATACCATTCACTAAGCTCATGTGACGCGGCCGATATCAGCCTTTGAAGAAAGATGAAAAATACAAAGATGGCCAACATTTTGCATGTGCTTGATAACAAAATGTTGCCCGTGTTTTGCACGTATGTGTTAATAAAGTGATGCATGCATGATATGCATACAACATATTATGCTTTAGCAAAGAGGTATATATAACTACTGGCCAGGCCGCTGGACGGGGGGGGGGGGCCTCTTGAACGGTAAAAGCAGTTATCAATTCGGTTGACGACTCGGCCTGTACGCTTTGCGGAAACCAATGTCTTTGCACTTACTTACAGAACCTCTATGCAGTTTTCAGCGACAATAAATGCATTTGTGTTACAGCTGTGCTGCACGTATTTTTGGGCATATCCGTAAATGCTATTTGATCATACTGATTTTTACATGTGAACATCGGCATTTCGATATTGCGCAACCTTTTCTGTAACACTGCAATGCAAGCAAAATATAGCCTCATCCCTTGGATTCATATGGGAAATATAAGATGTCATTATTGCAACAACAAAAACTGCACAGCACGTCTCAAACTAGACCCGGTCGGAGCATTCAACGGCCAGGTACCTTCGAACTGAGACCGTGGGTCCGCTACTCTTTCTACTTATCGGTTACTAGAGTAGATTAAGACGCGAAACAATGCGAGCGCTGTGGCAACTACACGGTCTACGAATGAGGGAACGATGTGGCTACCGCCTGACCCACAGGTGTGTCAGTCATTTACTTGTCAATGTCACGTTTCGAAACAGGTCTTAAATACAACCTGCCCCGGCCCAAACAAGGTGGGCTGGGTCATGAAGACGGCAAAGGCGCTAGTCCAGCCCGTGGCGACCAGTAGGCCCTTCGTGCATTGGCCGTTTTGCAAAACTACGTTCGCAGTTACCGAAACTATGAATTTCCTCGTTCCTGTCGACCGAAACTGACGTGCCGGCATTTAGACCCACGGTGAGGCGGGTTTTCAAGCGAGGTGATCTGTGAAATGGCGCCACTGCCTGATTGAGCCCACGTCTGACAACTCTAGAAATGGAGAATCGCCAACGCTATCCATTGACATTTTTTTTCTAATCTAAACTTTATGAGACGAACGCGAAGTGTTGAATGGAAAGACATTTGACATTATATAAAAACATGAGAGGCATGACGAGTGTCTTATAAACCCTGAATAGAACATAAAAGACTAATTTTGACATGGTGCAATGGTTTCGGGGTGTCCTCAAAATTCATTTAATATTTCACGAGCATATATACAGCATAGTCAGGCGCATAGTTTTGCAAAATCGGTCAGCGTGAGAGACTGAGCGTCGAAAAATGACGAAATGTACCCCGAAAACACGCCAACAAACGGGTTTCTCCTTTGATTTGGTCCACTCTTTTCTCCAGTTTGGGATCCCTATCCCAACTCCCTCCATCCCTCCAAGCCTGGATCCCTGGTTGAGGGCTGGAGCCCCCCCCCCTCATTCCCCGACTTAATTTGGAAGCTCCGCCCCTGAGGACGGCTCTCTAACGGCTCGGGCCGGAGTAGCCCGCGTGTAGAGTACAGGCTGTGACAAGCGGTATGACAAGATAGCAGGTGGGTGGAGCCGTGATTCAATGCTGACAAATGAACCTACGCTTCAGTGCTGAATCCTTCCAACAGTGACACTGTTTTCCCAGAGTGAACCGGCCTCCAAGGAACTCCCCATGATGCAGGAGTCGCTCAACGCCCCCGCCGATTCTGAAGAAGCATTAGATCTCTGTCCTGGCCATCCCGAGAGTGACGTCTCTCTCGGTAGTCCCGTCGCCAACTTTGTAGCCGATAGTTCTCCTGTCGCACATGTTGACGGACCCGGTCAGGTGGACGCTCCGTCCATCGATCAGGCCGCGTCTCCGGATGCTAGCTCCAACCAGGATACAACCATCGTCTTATGCGCATCCACTGATGCGGTCCAGGGTCTGGACGCAACAAGTGAGCCTGGGCCGTGCGAGGCCGGCCTTGCAGCCGGCCCTCTTGAATCTCCCAAGTCTCCTCAGCATCCTAACTCTGAGTCGCCCGATGCGTTACCCACTGAAGGCGCATCACTGAATGTGGCGCATGGAGACGCGGAAGAGTGCGCAGGCGCGGTGAACGGTTTGACAAGTCAAACTAAGACACCAGAGGACGCAGTGGGTCATGATAGTCCACAAAATCCCGACACTGGTCAAGACAAGCATGCACCAACCGGCTCTCGGACTGATGAGATCTTGACACTGGCGGTTGCTGATGACCAGTCTGAAACAGCACGCCCTATCCTTGATCAGGTCGAACCGCGGAAGTATATGGATTCGGAGCCACTGAAGGTGAAGGCGGCGGACCGTCTGTCTCCGTCGATTGTTCAAGATGGCTTCCAAGCCCCCGTTGGCGCCGGCGCCGATGTAGATAAGTCGGTTGGCGCCCCTTTCCAGGTCACGTCACGTGATCAGAAGTCACTCGGTGCGCCTGCTCATCACGATGAACCATGCGAGACACTCTCTTCTCCATGTAATGTACCCAAACAAGCCAATGTTCGAGCAGATGAGCCATTTGAACGGCTGTTTACTGAGAGTATGTCACGCCAAACACCTACTAGTAAAGAGGAAACCTCAAAGGTGTCGTCTCTTCAGGAGGAGTCATCCAAGACGCCATGTCCTTCGGAAGGGTCATCACACACGCGTTTTTGTCAGCATGAGCCATCTGGACCCCTCTCTCTGCAGGGGGAGCCATGCACCGCAGCCTCGTTTCTGGATGGGTCCGCCGGTACGCTCCGTCCTCAGGAGGTGTCGCCCGAAGTGACTGCTATTCAAGAGGAGCCATTCAAATCGACTCGCAACGAGAAGGACGTATTCGTGGAGTATGCTGCCGAGGACGTGTCGTCGAACAAACCATGTATTCGGGAAAAGTCAGGCGAAACGCATTTTAATGAAGAGGAGACTTTAGGGACGCCTTTTACTCAGGATATCTCATCCGAGACACCTTGTACTCGCGAGGGGTCATCAGAGACCCCTTCAAGTCGCAACGAGCCTTCCAAGGTAGAGACTCCTCAGGAGATGCTACCCGAGACGCCAGGTCCACTGAACTGTCTATCCAAGGCTCCGTTTGCACAGGGTGAGTCAGAAGAAGCACTTTCTCCTCAGGGGGAATCATTGGAGACGTCCTCTCATCCAGAGAAGTTGATGACGGAGGCGCTCTGCTCTCAGCATGCGTCATTTGATGCATCCTCTTTTAACAACGAGCTGTATGAAAAATCCGCTACTCACGATGATCAAGAGAAGATCATCTCTCCGCAAGACGAACAATCCAAGACGCTCCCTGCTCAACATCAACCAAAACCGGAGGCATCATATTCCGAAGACGGATCATTCAAGACACCCTTTCCCAAGACGGAGTTATCCGAGACATCTTCCTCTCAGGACGATGCATTGACAGCGCTCACTCCTCCAGACCTGCAGCCGTCAGGAATGCTCCTTGCCGGATCTGAATCATCCAAGACGCCCATTTCTCAAGAGAGGTCGTCCGAGATGACATCTCAGGATGTGCCGCCCAAGTCATCTCCTCTTCAAAATGAACCGTCAAATGCTCATTCTGCTGAAGTTGAGTCATCGAATGACCCGCGTGTGCAAGAAAGCGTGTCAACGCCAGATAACTAACCCAGTTAAATGCACCGGGAAACGTGCTGGATTTAAGCTGAATGAGTGGTGAAGAGTCGCGTACATTAAGGACGCGTCCTGAATGGCTTTCGCGGTCAAGATGAGCTGCGGGACGCTACACGCACTCAGCGTTGGTTAGTTACTGTTATTTTGCCTCCAGATGACTTTGGCAACGCTTCGACCGCATCAGTTGCGGTAATGTATCTTCCAAAAACTTCGAAACGCTCCATTAGCCTCGTGTCGGTCCAGAAGTGTTCTCGGGTTTACGAATACTTCTAATATTTTCTAATTGCTCGAGGCAGGCTTGAAGGAGACAGGTTAAACGCACCATAGATATACTGGAGCCTTCTGGTGGCGAGTGCTAGTTCGAAGTGCTGCTGTGAACAGCTTTGAAGTCAAAAGACGGTCTTCTTCAGCAAGAATGGATCGTTAAATGACGCACCTGATTACGCATCAATGAAATCAACAACCACCCACGTTGTCAAGTCAAACTGATCCGTTGATTTTCTCTGACGGAAAGGTTGATTAACACAAAGATGCGTCACATTATATAGCATAAA